ATTTTTATTTATAAATAATTAGTTAATATAGATGATCCTACGTCATTCTTAAACGAGGATAGTAAAATGACAATAGTATCTATACTACGATAATACAGAAAATTTGGAACCCACGTAAACTATGTTTTGTAGTCGAAGACATGTTATGTTTTTCAAATATAAAATTATGGAATAGTGATCCAACGTCAATTTTGGTTTCTATACCTTTTAAAATGACTATTTTGGTATCTATTTATATAAGTTTAACATAAATTTTGTCAGGGAGAATTTAATAAAGTTTTATAGTTGCATTAATTATATAATTTTAGTAAGTAAATGTCATGTTAAAATTGATTTATTAGATAATCTTAACACAGGAAATGACATTACATGAATTCGAATACGAGACCTCTTATTAACGGAAGAATAAATTACCACTCAACTTAAAAGTTTAAGCTGACCCTTATATCATGAAGAAGGTGTCCCCTACATCGAACCGAAATCTCCATCTCAATTGGGAACCACAAAAGTAATTATCAAATTATCCATGCTTGGCTGAGCTCAAACTCTTGCTTTTTCGTTACCACAAAAGTAGAACCAAAGCGAGCACAATCTCCACCTGAGTTGTCCTATAACACGATGCATTAAATTGTAACTTGATAATCTACTGCCTAATAAGAAAGCAATTTAATCATGCTTTATTTATTTATATTTAAGAAGACGATATCAATATTTACTACGTTTGCCATTAATTTATTAGAAGTCATATCGACCACATTTCGTTTACATCTCAACAACTACATTAATTGTCGTTATTTATTGTAACATAAAAGAATTATTCACCCAAGTATTTGAATACATTTCAAGTGTAAATGATAAGAGTGACCATTTATTTTAAGATATTAATAAATAGGTCCAATGCATATTAAATTGGAATAATGACAGATTGTTTCCAATCTATTCTCTTGTTTCAAGTCATAGTATTGTCAAATCGAACATAACTCAAATGGTTAAGACACCTATCTCTGACCAAGAGATCACCAGTTTGAATCCCCACCCCCACATGTTGTATAAAAAAAAAACCATAATATTAAATAAGTCCATAAAAAACTAATATTCTTATCTTGAAATGGTTTTTGAAAATTAAATATATATATGTTGAACAATGGATGGATATAAACGAAGAGGATAAAATTTTGTAAGAAAAAGATATATTATTATTTGTATAAAAAAATTATTTTAAACAAAAATGTGGTAAATGACTCGATAACGTTATTTCAAATAGGGTTGGTTGTTGGCTATTTTGGTCATGGCATAACAAAACGATATTTGATCTGTCTTCGAAGTCTTTTGAGAATCCAGCAACAATAGTTCGAAGGATCGTTGATGGATTTGCAAATTCATGGAAATTAGCTATGCCTCCTTTGCGAAAACAAGGTCGTAGATGGGCAGAAATTCGTTGGCTTCCTTCGTCAATTAACTTCTGGAAGCTCAACACAGACGGGTCAGCACATGGTAACCCAGGCCTAACAGGAGCGGGGAAACTCATATGGGAATTGGATCAAAGGTTTTCAACAAAACCTTGGCCACACAACGACGATTATAGCAGAATTATGTGGGCTGCTTTCCAGATTAGAACTTGCTTGGGACCTACGGTGCAGAAAGCTTATTATTGAATCCGACTCGAAAGTTGCGTGCAATTTGGTGTGCAACCGAAACCCTCCAACGGCATTACTGAGGCCTCTACTGACAAGGATAATTCAGTTGATGGATCGAGAATGAGAAATTTCTTTATACCATATCTATAGGGAAGCAAATATGCGTGCCAGGCCTTTTTCATCCGTTGATGGTGGATATCTTTGGGGTCTCCATACCCTGGCAAATTACCTCTCTGTAGTTTTTTCTTTGGGTTTATATGCCCCGTTATCTTTCCGAAAAAATAGGGAAAATAAACCAAACAAAAAAAAAAAAAAAGAAAGAGAAAAAGAAAACTAAAATAAAATGGGTGTGTAACCCATGGAGTTGAATGGTAAATTTTTTTGAAACCTAGGATTTCCTAGCCCGCGGGGCAAAAGCCGGCTTAAGCAAAACCCATGGCCAAAGGGCCCCTTGGGAGTGGGACTTATGGTTATTGGATCAGCCCGTCTTTATACATAGGAAAAAAATAATTGGTGAATCAAATTAAACTCGTTTTTTTTAATTCAAAATTATTGATTTGGATTCGAATTTCGTAATCTTTTAAGTAACAAACGTTCAATGTGTGGCTTATTGAAAAATCAACGTAACAAAATATGTGTAAACATAACAAATATTACAGCACATAAATATTTTAAAGTTAATTTTGTTTATTTCAACGATACGTGGGTAGAAACTCAAACCTCCATCGATTAATGATGTATCTATAATTATATTATAATTTTTTTTATATATTCATGAGTGTTTGAACTAGCTGCGATGTTAAGGAACATAAATTTATACAAATATAATATGTCGATCTTTAAGATAACAGGTAGAAAGGGTCCAACTCCATTTCCATTCTGATTTACTCCACCGTCAAAGAGCATTTGCCAATCGTAGGAATTTTGTCTTCTTCTTTGCCTACCTCTAATAGAATAGCTTCGTCGGGAAAATGCGTCTCTTACTAATCAAATCAAGTTTGACGTACACTATGGGTGTTCACGGTTCGGTTCAGTTCGGTTTGGAGGTCGAACCGAAATCGAAACCGATTAAAAAAAATTCAAAACCGAGCCGAACCGAAATACACAGCTGAATCGAACCGTCGTTTCGATTTGGTTCGGTTCATGCGGTTTTGCTTTTCAAAATGATTGAACAAACTAAAAAAATAATAAATATAATAATAGCAAGGTGGGCTGGCGTGCACTTATGACTCAACCACACCATTGGGCAGTGTGCACTGCTGTTGCTGCAGTGCGGTTCATGTTTGTATTTATTATTATTTTTTAATGTTATTGATGTTAACATATATATATATATATATATATATATATATATATATATTAAATAAAATTATAGGTAGTTGGTTCGGTTCGGTTTAATTTATTAAGCGATTTTATATATATATTAAATAAAATTATAGGTAATTGGTTCGGTTCGGTTTAATTTCTTAAGCGGTTTTGCTTTTGAAAATCGAAACCGAACCGATTATTTTGGTTATGCTTTTCTACTTAACCGAATCAAATCGTCAAACCGTCGAACCAAAATTCGATTCGGTTTCAGTTTGCTTTTTCAGTTTTGTCGGTTTCTTTCGGTTTTGTTGTGCACCCCTAACATACACAGTATCGAACTGAGAGTCACATCTGCCAACTTGCTGGCCCATGAAGCCAAGTTCAAGCCCAAGCCCATGTTAGAAGCCCGCTAAAGTTGTCATTATGGGCTAAAGATACATCGTTTTTATTTATCTTTTTATACTTTTGCAAAATGGCTTTAAATACACTTTTAGCAAATTGGTGATATCGTTTTTATTGTCATTTTTTTTTGAGAATATTATATATATATTTAGTACAAAATAAAATATTATATTTAATACATGTGAGGTCAGTCGTATAACATAATTAAACTACCTTTTTTAGTACAATTTAAACTACCCATTTATTTATATGTAAATTTATACAAAGTGAAAGGTTTCAACCCATGTACTAAAAAAAAAAATATAATAACTGTAAAAGTTTCGACCCTGCAATTTTTCATAAACTTGTTCACTTTATTTATTCACGAAAGTTACATTTTGTTATTTTTTTTAACGAATATTTGCAAATTTTTGTATTTGATCAACTGATTTGAAATCTATTATTTTATTATTATTATTATTTTGCCCATCACTTGAAATTAACCTAGATACAAGATTACATATATACCAAAGTAAACCAAGAACATGTAACCAGTGTCCCAATCTAACTAAATTCGAAAATATAACAATTTGATTGGGTTGAATTATCTATTTTAATTCATTTTTATAGGTCCAACCAGTCAAATTTATAAAAAAAAAATCGTTAATTCGATTAAATCCAACTCGTTAACACCTCTCTTGAGATTTTATATTTGTTCCCCTCAAATTTTAGTTATTCACCAAAAGTTCATAATTTAACGTTATTATTCAACTCAATAAAATTAAAGATCCTTAATCTTCAAGATTTTTCAATTCGATCTTTAATCTTTTAAATTTATGAATCATATCTTTAGTGTATAAAACATTTATCAATTAAGTTCTCGCCCCAAAAAATTGCTGACTTATTGACATTAAAGTATTACTTTATTGACATACTTGAACATATAAGAATGTCACATGAACCGCCACTTTAGAAAAAAATAGTTTTGTTAATTGAGAGGTCAAATTTTGCCATGGATTGATTGGATTTCATGGAATAATTGGATGCATTTGATTGGTGATCTAAAAATAGAAATACCATAAGATTAAATGAAAATCATAATTGTATTTGTGTTTCGTAACATATTTGAAAATCGGATATCAATTTTGAAAAATTGCTGTGTTTATTCGTAAAGTAGTGGCAATTACTAGTTAGTTCAATCTAAAATATTATTAGTTAATAATATAGGTCATAAATTTAGTATAATTATTATTTTATAATATTATATAATTGATTCAAGTATTTTAAACTTAAAAAAAATTAAATGAATTTATAACCTGAAGTAATGTATTTATCAAAATTTTTATAATCATGTATTTTAAAATTTCAAATTTAGAATGGGGAACATTGAAAATATCGGAACGAATTTCTACAGAAATTGAGATATTCACCGATATAAATGCGTTAATAAATAGTACTTTAATAATTCACAACTTTTTGTTAACTAGTTTCCAACGCGATTGAGAAATTTTAATACATAAAAATAAAATGAAAAAATTGACAAGATTACGACGAAATTGAGAATTCACTAAAAAATAAGGATAATTTTCTATATTTAGCCTAAAATTAAAATTAAGGGAACTATTTAATCAAGATACGAATCCCCGCCGCTCCGAAGGTTATTTTGGCGCCAAATCTCTCTCTCTCTCTGCGACGCAGTACATATCGTTTTCCATGGAGGATTAAGCGACTTGAAGATTGATCGATTCTTCGATTTATAGATGGAAACCTTAGAGCTTCGTACTCCTCAATTCTCAGAGGTAAACTCGCATTTCTCCTTCTAACCATTACTGATTCATCGATTATACCGATAATCTTCTTGTTTGTTTATTCTACTTTTACCGCCACTTAGTTTAGTTCCTGGAAAATGAAGGAACAGAATATGAACTACGAAGTTCGTTGTGTTATTTATTCGCACTATTTATGGACAATTAAGTTGAAATTTCGATCGCGGAAGATCGGATGGTGTTTTCAATTTCGTGTTCATTATTTTGACAAGTGAATGGACTGAGTTGCATTCGTTTGCGGACTAATCGAAGCAAGTGTTTGAGAAATTTGTAAAATTATCCAGGATTATCTGCGAGAGAATATTGGACTGCTTCAAATGTTTGGAATAGTGTCGGCATGAAACTGGACTTTTTTCAATTTGTTTCTCTTACAGACATTCTTCTTGGTTTCTCAAATCTTATAATTTTCATACTTCCAACCTGCAGGAAGGATAATATAAATTTAATAACCGGTTCTTGTTTATTTGGTATCTCGATTCAGCTATATTATTGAGAAAGAAGTCATAATTGTGCCTCTTATACTTGGTGCTTACCAGTTGCCTGTCTTTTTGTTTTTTCTTCGTTGTCAGTCAAAAGTAGCTATATCATCTCGTGATTTCTGCAAAGTTCCAATAAATTTAGCTTTATTAAGGCTTAGTAGTTTCAATCCCCTGTAATTCGTATTAACCTAGTGGAATTGAACAATGCATGGAGCTCGTCCAGATTGGACTGGTCAGATGAGAACCTACTTCGTATCTTTATGGTTTTTATATTATATATTGTCTTAAGAATTGAGCTCCATTCTTTTAGATACTTTACACCTGAATTTGAGATTCATTTTTCTGGTTAGCACCGTTTCTGCTAGAAATAACTGCAACATTTTTAGCCATACTTTTATGGTAATTTCTTGAACAGATGGTTATTTTTTTTCTTCAGTCTTATACTTGGCATTATAGCTATGTTCCTATTAGGCATCCTAACTGTCTTTGATTTGTAAAATATGTTTTAATTACAGGATTTAGCTTGGCTTCCTTGCTGGCTTCAGCACAATCAAACAACACCATCCAATGAGCAAGAAATAGAATCCCTTTACGAGTCAGCAATCAAGGTTGACATTCTTCTCTGGTATTTAAATTTACTATGGTCTTATTTTGTTCATAATCCTTGTTTGAGGTTCCTGTGAACTTTCCTTGTAGCTTTTCCAATTGAATGATTCAACATTAGCTTCAAAAGTGGATATGTGCCTGGAAATAGAAATGAATTTGGCAAAAAACAATTTGATTGGCAACCACATTCTATTTTGAATCRGAGTTGAGCTCATAAGATGGTTATTGACATATTTTGGACATGCCTTTGGTTTTGTTTCATAATCAAATACTTATCCTTTTGAGCAGAGTAACTTTGCACTCTTCAAAACAAGAAAATAGTATAAAGGAATTATATAGGTATACAATCTAGAAATAGATTCTCACAGAGCTAATCAGTTCATTTTTTTCCTTAAATATTGTTTTATACTCTGGAACATTTTTTTACTCTTTTTCTGCTATAAATCAATAATATAGCAAAGATGTTTGGTGACCTCCCTGGTCCAGTTCAGTAGATACATCCTAGTTCATTTAGGAGTGATACATTCTAGTTATTCTTTATATATTTTTTCTGGTATTATCAGCGACTTATTTTTTAAATTAATAATGTTGTTTGATGGTTTTAGATCTCATAACATGTAAAGAACTTGATCTGTTAAGGTCACATGGGAATTCAGTTTCAGTTAAACAAAAATAGGTAGCTGAATATTGCATTGCATGGTGTTGAACTATTTCATGCTCAGCCCTGCTATTAGTTGCACTTCTTGGACAGACTACATGGTTCTAATATGTTCTGATGCATGTCTTTTGTATTTACCGTAGGAATTTGGGCATGGAATTGTCAATCAACTGGAAGATGCAAATCTATCTCCAAAAGATGGTGGATGCAACAGTTATCGTTTATTTCTATCAGGACAGGACAGTTTACCTGAAAGCATAGTGCCATCATCTAATAATGTAAGTTTGTGGCCCGTTTTACAGATACGGGGTTCTTTAATTGGATATCCAATCCAAATAGGCTTCTTCGAAATTAGATGGTTGAATAAGTGAAGGATTTTACAAACATTCTCCGACAGAAATAAATAGCTCCTACAGACAGTCCGAATGATGTAGGTATAAATTAAGTACAATTATATTTTCAGATTGAAAACTTCAGGAACGGGGATCTGTTTTAGATATGCTATTTACCACTAACTTTATAGGGATGGATGTATTTAGTGAGATGAACTACTATGCATGAAAATCTTATGTATGCGGTGAGAAGTAGACGAGCTTAATTTAATTGAGTATAAGATCTCCACTCTATGCAGAATCACGAAAGGGCTAAAATGCATTCCTCCAAATCAAATTATTTACAAGTAACCTTCTTTTGCAGAATCAACATGTATTTTCTTAACCAGTATAATTCATCCCTTCATCTGATGAAAAGACTATTTCTTTAAGATTCTGGATTGATATTATTAAGAATCCAAAACTAATAAGCATGCATTTTAATATATTTCTTATTTCCTATTGTTATATTGAAGACTCCCTAGATTTCTAATCTGGACATTTCTGCAGTTGGATTACTTTTTCTGAATAAATAAATAATATGGTGTCATGTTTTTCTCATTGGTTTTCTTACAACAAAAGCAGGTACTTAATTTTCATTTGCATCTGTCATCATATGGGGGCTCGGAATGTAGTTCAACCCAACATTTGGATGGGTCTCACCACTTGCTTGACTATAATAAAGTTCAGTCAATCAGTATGGTTGAAGCATCACTTGATTCCAGAGAAAATATTTCATCCAGAAGGGACATTAATGTTGGCGAGGTAGATTTGTCAACTAAATCTAGCAACAAAGACATTGTGGAAAATGTTGTATGTCAATCTCCGACCAATACTGAAGATCGTGAAAATCAATGGGGAGAAGACTCTGGGGGCTCGGAAGTTAACAATGCAATTGAGCTTTCTGTTGTGGCATCTGAAGCACTGGTTATACACGACTTGTTAAAGACTGAGCTCGATTCAGAAGCACTATCAGTTGAATCTGTCCTTGAAGTTTCCCTCCAGGTCAAAAGAGCTCGTATTGAGTTGTTGGAAAGTGCCTATGAAGGCTTAAATGAGGAAGTGGGGTTGAACGACTCTCTTTCAGACTTGGATGACTTAATAATGAGAGATGCATTTGATTATGTAGGATTACCTTGCAATATTCTCAACAATGATCAGTGTGAAAAAATAGGTTTTGATGTTCAAGATACTCCTCTCAATGAAAATCATTCTGCACGTGGCAGTCAATGTAATCCTGTAGATATGAGGAGTCAACAAGACATGTTGGGGAATGAATTTCCTCTGAAACAGTTCGAAGAGAATTGTGTTGTGACAGGACCTGAGAGCTTGCCTTTAGAACCTGCAAGTTGTAACATTCAAAATAAACTTTCTGATAATGTCGTCTTGGCTTCAATTAGTCCAAACTGTTGTAAACATGATGGGTCAATATTGCAGCAATCAGCGCAGAATGAATCAGATGAGTTTGTTGTAAAACAGGTAAAGTCCAGAAGACATCACCATATTGAGATTTGCTCAATGCTTACCCAAAATATTTTGAATGAGACATATGGAAAAGACCTTCCACTTAAAAAGAAGTGTTTAAGGTTATCTCCATTATTTGTCAGATTAATGTAATAATGGTTGAACGTTAGCATTATAAATAACATTGACTAGTATTTAAGCTGTCAATAATGACAATATGATATCATGTCTGCAGAAAATTGCGTCGTCTACAGTTAATACAAGTTTGTATTTGATTCATGCCAAGGAAAACTCCAGCCTACATGATTGCAATACAGTGCTAGCAAGTGAGTCACTTTGATTCTGTATTTTTTATGGATGAGATTATACAGGCTTAAGTTTTAAATAGTGTTTTTTTTTTCACATTTTCAGAAAATGAAGAACGGGTCTCTGTCCTAACTCCCAACAGATTTAAGAGTCGTTGGCTGGGTGGTTGGACAGGTAAGGTGTGTGCTCCATTGTACTCTTATTTTCAACCTGCCATGTTGGTCCATACATTAGAGTTCTAGATTACTATGTTCGAAGATGGAGTTTGATAGTATTAAACAGAAGATAACTTAGTGTTCAAGATTAACAAACTTTGTTAAGTCGAGAATCGAGATGTATCATTTTTTATTATTTATTTCCAAGTGTTCTAGCAAAAGAGATTCAATTGCAATGGAAAGAACACTGCGTGTTTTGTTTTTCTTTTTTCTCCTTTTTTAATAAAATCATACAACGTATTGGTTTATTGAGTTTTCTCAGATATATTTTAGAATTTTGGTCTAGGTTCAATTTGTGGCGATGGTTACTCTAGAGTGCCTACTTGGGACCATTTTTGTTCCATATGTTCATTTATTTTATGACATAAAGCTTAATCTTCTCACCAATGGTATAAGTAACGAAGGGTTTCTTGTTAAAAGAAAAAAATGATATAGGTAAGGAAGGCGTTGGCTACTTTTTAGTTTTACGTACTCTTAATTGTTAAAATCCCTTCAATGTGGAGGCTTGGATTTAGCATTTCTCATTGGTGTAACTCCCCACCCCAAAAGTTTTTTCTTCTCCAGTTTTACCTTATTTAGGTCCACAGGTTTCATTTCCACTTGTGATGCATAGGCATACGATCAGTTGTTTCATTTTAACAGTTACTATTATGGTCTCTTTCCACGTTCATTTTCTTTTGTTAGTATAATCATTTTTTTTTTCTTTTCATCTAATTGTTACTCTTATCGTGTCTTTCCTCTTCCATTTCCCTAAAAGGAAGTAGATGTTTCTGAGAAATTGAGGCCAAATGATGGTAAAACCATTCCTTCGATGTTTGTTAATGAGACAAGCTTTCTTTCTGAATCTGCTGATATAGCTCCAGACGAGAGCTCTTGTGTGCAAAGATGTGAATCTAAGGTCCAAGTTGCTTCACAGTCAAGTGTACCTTTTGGTCATTTAGATGAAAAAGGTGATGAGGGTTTGCTGGTATCTGAAGATGTTGTGAAATGTAGCCTATCCTTGGTCGATCCTCTATGTTCTTTCGTTCCATGCAGCATATCATTGGACACTGATTGTGTTAGACAGAATCTGAATGAAGAAAAAGATTGTATGAAAGAATGCTCCGGAACCTTTGTGGATGTTGGAGGTTCTAGGCCCTCAATTCGAAGGCAATCAACTTCGCTTAAGACTTACAGCACGATTTCACCCACTCATGTTGCTTTGGAAGGGGGAGATTTGGGCAACAAGTATTCACATCAACTGTTATCACTGGATCCTCGTCTGGATTGCACGAAGCTTCCTTGTAAAAGAAATTTTGTGGACACTTCACCCTCTTGGCCTACTTCTGGAGCTGGAAATATCGATACTGTGGACTTCCAAACTGATGCCGACCAGAGTTTGGTTGTGGAAACAACAGAACTAAAAAGTAAAACTGATGGAGTTGCTGGTGATGGGACTGAGTTCCTTGTTCAGTCAGTAAAAAAAAGGATAACTCCTAGTAGTTTAAATCAGAGTCTGCAGGTACCTAAACCTATAATGAAAAAATCCTCTATCAAGAAAGATCATGTACAGAGTTCAGGGCCTGAAACTCTGTCCGATCCTCAAAAGGTCAAAAACCTCACGAAGATGCAATATGAAAGTACGAGTCCCCTTGAGCTGTGTATGGCGGTGCAAAAGAGAGTTCGTTTCTCAGAAGCAAACGACCAGCTTCAACAAAACCAGGATCTTCAGAAAGTATATCCAACACCAAAAAATTGTAAGGGCTGGAATATTGTTGGTGCTATTGACACGATTTACTATGATTTTACAAATAAATTTTTTTTTTTTTGTTGAAATGCAGATTCTGCTCTCAGAAGTGGTAAAAGACGGAAGTTTTCTAATCAATGCTCAGTGTCTCGTCATCGTGATGGTAAATGCTATCTCAAGGGTCTCTACTGTAAGAGCAGGAAGAGATTAATATTTCAAGGCATACTGTTCTTGCTAACAGGATTTTCTAGTCGGAAAGAAAAGGATATTGAAGGGTTAGTATGGAATAATGGGGGTATGGTTCTTCCTGACATTCCTAGTTCAAGTTCAATGGGGAAAAGGATGTCAAGATTAAACTGTAAAGGGGCTCCTGTTATTCTCTCTCCGAAGAAGGTTGGTTCCCTCAAAATCATTCTTACTCCAAGTATTTTCCCCTCCTACCTTTTTGAAATTGTGTGATTCTGTGGTTTGATATATCTACTTTGACAAGTTTTTGCATTCTCTTTTTCTTTTGACGTATCTTTGCTTTCTTAAATCCATGGCCACATGACATCTGTCTTAAATTTTCCTTCGCTGCTCTATGGAAAATCGAAGATTCATTGAAACTCTAATAAAAGTCTCCAACACTTGCTGCTCGATAATGAAAAAATACGAAGTGTCCTCCAGTTTGAGTAGCAAGTTGGGATATCTTTCTTGCATCCTATCCATCGTGTTTACTCCATGGCATAGTTCCAGACAAAAAAAAAGTCACCTATTTTTGGTCTTTATCGTTCTAATCGCCCAAGAAATTCTGTTGAGGGCAAATCTTTTTGCAATCAAATTCTGTTTTTCAATTAATTTCATGTTTTTCAATTTTGTTTTTATAAAAAACTCCAATTAGACTCTAATGTTATTAGATAACCAGCGACAACTTTCCATTACCATTTGACACAGAATTTTTTTAATTATTATTTTTCAACTTTGATGAACTGATTATTGTTAACTTGTTTTGTTTTAGCTCCAAACAACAAAATTCTTGTATGGGTGTGCGGTGAATGCCCTTATAGTCAATGTCAGTTGGCTGACAGATTCAATTGCAGCTGGTTCCATGTTACCACCTACGAAGTAAGTTGTAAATTCTTGTGTTTCCTTCCAGCATTATGAAAATTCCCCCCTGTAAATTATGTTGACGATGATCTGTGAAGGAGACGAAAAAACATTGTAAACAAAAAGAGGAGTGCCCTAAAATACCAAGGGTGTGCCTCAGAGACAGTTTCATGGATGAAGTTTTTAAATGGCAAACAGAAGTGGTGACCGTTGGTTATCTCAACCACATGCTCTTAAAGTATTATTATGGATGTTTGTTGGTTTCTTTTTTTAGGGAAGGGTCGTAAAGGGCGCGAGAAAAGAGAGATTAGTGGCTAACGTGACCTATATAGTAGAGTTCTATTAGATAGGCGGCATGCTCTAGAGAGGAGGAACTGGTTTAGATAAGAGCAAGCTCTCTACAAGATATCAACGTCTACTTAAGGAAAGATTTGCTGGTTTTTGTTTGATGGTATATTGGGGGAATGAATCTGGTTACTAGGACATCCTCATTTTTTCTATTTCTATAAACCTAGAATCAATGCCGTGTGGCTTTGATCCCTATAATTAGAGGTATCGACGACCATCCAACACTGTAATCGATGTTGTAGGACTTGTCCCCGAATGGGAGAAGCCTCGGCTACGCGCCCTGCGGGGCTAGAACCAAGGAGTGGGGTATCCCCATTTGGCCACAAGCCTACTATGCCACCACCTGCTGGTGGTTACGAGGACATCCTCATTATACAAGATTTCTTGGGTAGAATCCAAAAATGAGATAGTACCTATATACTGCATATTAATTCGTGAATGGAGTGATGGTGGATCGGCATTTTATGCATTTAATGCACTATACCTTTCAGCCTGGCTGTTCTCTGGGCAATGTTCATGCATTTCACCCATGCCCCTTAACATGTCCATGTATTTCTTGTCGAATGCAGCTTTCTAAAAACATTTTAATTGATTATAAGTTGTTTTTATTTACATAGCTGCTTTTGGTTGGTCTTTGGTGGTTGTTTCTTTTTTTTCTTTCTGTGGCTTATGTGAAATTTATTAATTTTCCTGTTAAGGTACATGATTATATCAAATCAAGCCGATTGTTCCCAAGTTGGATGTTCAATTAGACACAGTAGTCGAAGATATATATTCGAGAAAGTTGGGGTCATGCTTCATGGGAAACAAGGTTTCTGCAACAAATTGACGAAGGTATTAAAGGTAAGGTTTGCTCCTTTTACTGATTCTCTCCCCATCTATTTACGTAAAGTTGATTTAATCTCTTTATTCATCAATTGAACTACTAAATGTAGTGATCGTCTTGATGGACGGTTGAAAAAGAAACAAGAGCATGAAACTTCTTACAATTTCCCTCTGCCACGTCTGTGGGATCAAAATATTCTAATAATGAAGGTAAATGATATTACCTTCATTATTGGAATATGTTTTAAAAAAATTAATGATGTAGACAATTAATCTTATCTACAGGTTTGCTACTATAATGTCTTCGATGTTCAAAATTCAAGAAGAATTCAAACACTTGCTATGAGATTCCAAATCTTTTTCTTTTTCCTCTTTTTATTTGATCAGAAAAAAAAAGTATATATATAAGAGGAAGAATTATTTAACTTCCATTGGTTAAAATATTAATAAATGATTAAATAAAGTCATGTATTTGAATCCTAGTTTAACTGATAATCACTTGTTGGGCCCTGCACAGATTTTCAAACCCAAGGGTGAGAGAGAATGTCAAAGTATAGATAAATATTTAAATTAGCTTTAAACTTATGGGTTCAGTGATGGTTCAACTACAAATATCAATCATCTTTTTCTTTTTGTGTATTCTCTCCTTTGGTAATGATACGCTCATACCTCTTATCTTACATACAAAAAAACTGCATATAATTATGAATCTCTGCTTTTCTTATGCCTCCAAAGTTTTATCCATAGCATTCAGTATCATGTCATTGATAACTGAAGCATTCTTGTTACAACTTGGAGCTGACCAATTCAGTCTTCTATTTTTCGTTAACTCAGCATGGAGGTGGACAAATATTCAAGGCCCTACAGTGGTTAGTAAAGAGTCTAAATAAAGAGAAGATTTCGATTGGAGTCATCGTATTTGAGGACGAGTACAAGGCGTCCCGTCACTTGAAGCAGTGTGCCTTAGAACAAGGCATACCCATTATGGTAAGTAACTACTTGCTTGCCCTTGATAATCATATATTGGTTGAATGACTAGAAGATGCACTCCATCCACCATTTCAAAGAAATAAATCAGATTCTTTTGTTCCTCTTTGGCTTTTCACAGTCTGCAAAATGGATCATAAACAGCTTACACTTGGGAGACCTCCTTCCTTTGGCAGACAACAATCAGTCCACTTCTACGGTAACTCCAAATATTTTAAACGTTCCAGCTTTCAGAGAAACTAGCCTGGAATTATAAGTTGGCGTCTTCAGAGTTATTTACAAGGTAAATGTGTATAACACGCATTAGTTTTCTAGGTGGTTTTTTAAAAGAAAGATATATTACAAAAATCCTAGATTATTTTGTCTTGTGTTGTGATTGTCAATATGAATGTATAGATGGACGAAGTCAAATAAAATATTAAATTGAGATCGAATCATCAACATCAGGCAATGATATTAAATATCTCGTGAAATTTTGATTTGAGCAGTCAGTTTCCTCGAAATAATGAAAGATGTCATTGGGCTGAGCTTCTCTCTGCTCTATTTGGGAAACAAGGTCTTGTTTGCAAAGTTCTCTAGGTTTTATATTTTTTGAATTGCAAAAGGTAGTTTCTGTGGAATTACATAATTAAGCCTCTAAAACTACTAGAAAAATAAATCAATTTGGTTTCGTTTGATTTTTGACCAAACTATTTGTTTTGCTTCCTTGGTGAGCATTGAATCCTCGAAAATGAAACCAAACCAAACCAAATCTGTACTCTAAAGTGTTGTTTCAAGAAAAATGAGCATTAAAATTCTTGAAAAATATTCTTCAAGACTCGCGAGTTTCCAAGCATTCATGCTAAACTTAAGCTCATAGGATAGGCTCGAATGCGATGACATTTTCGTTTTTTTTTTCTCATTTATTATGTCTTGCATTTTGAAAAGCAATACAAAAATTCATTTTGCAATTATTTCTTTTGCCTTCTTTTTTATTGGAAATGTGTTTGGTAGCATTTTTAGTTATCTTTCATTTTAGATTTACATACTATTTTGTCATACTCTTATCTTTTGTTTATTTTTGAAATTTTATTTTGCCCTTTGGTACTTTTAAAAAGTAATCATTTTGATCTTTTTATCTTAATTTTAATTGGATGATACATTCGATACATTTTTTTAAAATGTAGCTATAATTTTAAGCTAAATATTTTCATTTTACTTTCAGATAGAAACTAAAATATTCATTTTTCAAAGTTCCAACAATCAAAAGAATACATAAAATAAAATTTGAAAATATAACGATTGAAATCAACTAAAACTTTAAATCTTAATTTTTAATTAAAAAATCCAAGTTCTTAAATCTAGTTTTTTTAAATTTTTAAAAATAAAAAATAAAAATTCTTATGTTGTACTTTTGTTATGAAAGTATATATTAGTCTCTTACATGTAAAAATTAGAACTTGTATTTGATCTAAATATTTTTAAGAAAATAGGAATGATAACTAGAAAACAAGAAATAGAGATGTTATTAAATGATACCTTAATGATAAAAGTCGAAAAGGCTAAAATAATTCTACTAAATTTCTTTTGACATTTGAATTTGAATATAAGCTCATTAGTTCATTGAGCAAACGAAAGCTTTGATGCATTCCACATATAACTTCTGAGATAATATCTTAAATTCATCCAAATGTAACTTAAAGATTGAGATATTTTTGGCTTCTTTTTCTTAAAAAGCAAAACATAATCGTGTTTGATAAAAATAATTTTAGGTGATTTTAGGAACTAAAAAGCAAAACATGTTACATAATATTTTCTGTAAACCAAAACAGTTTGATAATAATTTGTATGAACTATACAATTAATTATCAAATCAGATCTTATTTTTAATTAGTATATATTCGTAATTTTATAAGTATAAATTTTTGAAATTTAGCATTAGATTTATAAGTTAGATGGAGAGAACGCTATTGAGAAATTTTAGATAGAAGTTAGAATGTAGAAGTTTCTATATAATAGAGAGGGAAAGAAAAAATAGGCAGGGAAAGGTTAAGCAAAAAAGAAACGTCCAAAGGGAATACTTGTTGAGAGAGTGAGAAATTTCAATTGATGACATAAATTTGCTACGTATTTTAGAAAATCACTTTATGTACGAGTTTGATTTAGATTGTCATATTTGTAATATTTTTAACCTTTTGCTATGTTCGAATATACATATTTATGCTACCTGTGTCTAGAAAAACAGAAACCTATTTAGAACTTATTAAACAATCCCATCTTTGTTTTGTTATATACCTCTTAAAAATATTTTCAAAATCTAAATCAGAATTTAAAAACTGCAGAGACCAGTTTTCAAAACTTGTTTTTATTTTTAAAAATTTGGCTAACCATTCAGATGTGAAGAAATTATAGAAATCAAACACAATTGAAAACACAAAACGAAAATAGTTATCAAAACGGACCGAAGAAATCAGTGATTTACCAACATGCCTTTTAAAATAAATAAACTAAAAGAAAGACAAAACTTTAAGCTTAAAACTGCATTCTCACCTGTTAGCATTCCTCAAGTCATCACTGACGATTTCCTGTGAAAAATTTTTCATTTTCAGGATGGTGGTTTGGTTGATTAAAATACCCAGAATTCTATCAAAAAATATTGACGGAACTCTTTGTTGGACGAACGAATATAAGTTATAATTAACACTAAATATTCGAGAACTCAACGACAGTAGTACAACCTATAGAACAGGTCCAGTTCAAGTAAGGTCGTGCTGAGCCTATAAATCTAATAACATGATCTTACCCAATAATGATATACTCCCTATAAACTTGTCATTGATCTTTCTCTTGAACTAACTTATGTGCATAAGAAAAACAGAAAACCACTTGAATCCTTTGCGACACTCAGTTGTGCAAGTGCGACCCCGAAATGAATGATAAATTAATAAGAGTTGAACGCACCTAGAACCTGGCAGACAGACAATGGCAGCAAACCTGTTGTATAGAGACGATGAGTTAGCTAGCAAACTAAAAGCTGTTGCATCGGATAGGAGAAACTGAGAGGCCTACAACGTCCACAGAGAAGGGTGCGTGTGCAAAGCTGGCTGCAAAAGTTGTCATCTGGCCAAGGCACGTCTGTCTGGGCGTCTAGTCTCGCTGAGAAAAAAATAAAGCTTTTCCAAAATTTTCTTCTATGTACAATCTTGACCCGATCGAATCATGTCTTTGATGACAGATCATGCTTCTTCCAATTTTAGACGAGGAACAATATTCATAGATTGAAGTTCCTGCATATAGAAACAATTATGGTGCATTAGCTGCTGATCCAAACCAGCAAGGGACCTCTAAATGATGACTAACGTTCATAAGAAAACTGCTATGAGAAAATAGAATAAATAAGCAAGCAGGCGTTATTCTTGATCTACATTCATTAACCATGAGAAGGAAATCAACAGAAAATAAAACTAGATATAGTAAAACCAACCAAAAACCTAGAAAAAGAAGAGAAAAGTTTCCCACCTGGATTAAAAGCTTGCACGAGTACGGAAGCTTCATAGTAGAGATATTTTCTCCATTTTTACATGAGGAACAAATTCCCGTTTTTAGCTTGTGGTTGTAATATCCTAACAAACCACAAACTCTGCAGACCTGTGCCAATTAGTGGGGGAGCATCATCAGCTTTATGGAAGTATACACAAAATTATCAACATTAACTGTTCCAAATAGTAGCGTGGTGAAGACTCATTACTTTATCCCATTTTAAAATCTCTTTTTCAATAACTTCTCTTCAAAATCTTTAAAAATTACAATTAAGAGCCAAACAATGTGGTGCCTTATCGTCACAAGAGTTAGAATGCTTATTACTCGGTCTCCAGAAGATTATAAATCAAAAGAAAACACTTCTACTTCATTTTATTGTAACAATGATTCAGAGAAAGGAATTCTTTGAGTCTAAACTATCACAGCTTTTTCCGGTGGAGCCTATGGTTGGAAAGAAATAACATGCCATTCAACAACAAATGCTTATTAAAATAGGTCCAGACGTCGTTATTCTTCAGGTGACCAAACTGGGGGGCCTGAACTAGGAACTTTGATTAAGTCGATCTGGAGCTCGAGGAGGATAAGTTGGGTTGCTTTAGATGCAATGGGCTCTGCTGGCGGAATTATCATCCTTTGGAAGGAAGACTTTATTCATGTTGTTGATTCTATTCTGGGCGATCTTTCTCAAGCTTGAAGAGAGTGATTAGGATTCTTTTGGCGCATGTTTTCGTTGAGCTTATAGTTGCTTTGTTCATCAATGTTTTATTCTGTTGTATCTTTTAGAATTTTGTTCTTTATTTGGCTGTTTTTTTTCTTGTTTTCTCCCTTTGGGAGTTTGTATCCTTGACCGTTTTCTTCCGTTTCAATATATCAATGAAAAGTTTGTTTCTCGTTAAAAAGAACAACTCTTTTAGTGGTTGGATTACAGAAGTCTATGGCCCTGTCACTCCCCAAGGCAGATATGATTTCTATCAGGAGGTGGCTGATCTATCGGGTTATGTTCTAAACTCTGGCGCATTGGAGGAGATTTTAACGTGGTTAGATGGGTTTCTGAAAAATCAGGAGGTTGGCAGGGTGACAAAAAAAGTATGAAGACTTTCAATGCTTTGATCTGTGATGTAGAGCTGATAGATGTGCCCTTAAAAGGAGGCTCTTTTACTTGGTCTAGCAATAGGCCGCATGTTTCCTCTTCTAAGAAAACTACAAATGCATCTCTTTGGACAGTTTTATGGAATCTATTTTCGTAAAGTCTTCTAGCCAGTGTAAAAGCTTTCACTCCACAATTCACATATTATAGTTTAAAATTTAAATGTCCTTTTGATCAACTGGCAGGCCTCATTGTAACCCCAGTTCTTTGGGTCTCTCTCTCTCCCCTCGTGTATATTTCATATCTTCAATGAATTGTTTGTTTCTCGTAAAGAGAAAAAATAGGACTATGAAACTACAAAATGGGAAGACATAAGTACAAATAAAAAGAAGTACCTGAACTTCAAAAGGGTCGCTTGACACCATTAAGCGTTCAAAAATCAGCATGCTAGCACCATAAGCAATCAAACAATCACGTTCCATTTCTCCCACTCGTAGTCCTGGGAAATAGACAGCTGCTTAAACATCCAGTACTTCTTACAATGAGAAGAAGTTGAAAATAATAATTAGGATGCCAAACCTCCATTCCTAGCTCTCCCTTCTGTTGGTTGTCTAGTCAACATGACACGCGGACCGCTACCTCGAGCATGCATTTTATCCAAGACCTATTTATCATGAAAAATTAGACGAGCAAAACTGATACAGTAAATAATTGAAATCAGAATATAAAAAAAAAAATGAATTGAAAACAACAATTCACAACATGGTAACTCGTAGCTTTTGGTAAGAAACTGGTCCGTTTCTTTTCTGTAACTTGTAGGTTTACTGGTTTGATGTTGTGCCATTTGATTTATTC